TTGCCTTTAATCTTTCTCTGCAGGATAAACTCATCAGAAGCTGGTTTGTCATGAGCACAGCTGTCATGTGCAAACAGCACAGTCATAAAGAACATTTTCTGATTGTTGCTTCCCGCCAAAGGACACACATTGGGCTCTCATTTGCTGTGTCTAAAACGTACCACTTTAATACCAGTAATGTTATTACATCTGCGCATTACCCTGCTGGGATGATGCCACTTAGCCTCTGTGATTTCATTATGTGAAATGCAGAACAACTCTTTCTTGGGTGGGGAAGAAAAACCCTGATATAAAAGGAGAAAAGGAAATGGCGGTGTCAGAAATCAGCAGGAAACAATATTGCATTTTATTATTCCATATTTCTATGCTATGACCGCAGCAACAAGCTGATGTAATGTCTCGGAGGGGGGAAATCCTATAAAAATGCTGAATATTTACTGTAAGATTTAAAGTGAGAGTTAGACACTTTGGGAAATGCCCCTATTTGGTTTCTTCAGAGAATAAAAGGAGAAGCTTGATAGTGGTATCAACCTTCACATCTAACGCGACGCGAATGACACGCTTAACGCGGCACGAATAATTCACGGCGCATTTGGTGTGCGTTAAGGTTGAAAGGTGAAAGGTTGCCAAGGCCAGAAGGAGCCACTCCAAAAACCAATCTCACGCTGCTGAGCTTAAAGTGTGCACGTCTTGCTATCTGCAATCTTACATTTTTAGCAAGAGGAAAAGGAGTTTGATGCCATCTCTACTCATCATGTTCACCCCCAAGAAAGAGTTATGCCTAATGTCTAAGTCTAATGCAGAGTTATGGTTGAGATAATGAGAGAGAGGCAGATAGAGTTCCTCCATGATAACTTCCTGCAGCATAAGACCTTTTTTCATTCATTTCTACTAAACTCTGACATACGACAAGCTTTGTCACACATGCTCACAAACGCATCCTGTTAATCAACCACATCCTCAACGTGCCCCCCCCCCCCTCCCCCACACCTCTCAATTACAATTTCTGTTGACTGCTCCGAGTTTGACAGAGGTCCTCTCCTTTATTATAGTCACAGTGTTTGGGAGCCTGACAGACTCATAACTCAACACCACCTCATTAGGACGCAGAGTATAGTCACAGTTTAGCTCAACACTCACTGACAAAAGAGTGGGGAAAAAACATAAATGAGTAAAATTCTCCTCTCGCTTGCTGGCTCTCGTCATATGCAGCAACTCGCGTGACAGCATAATCCAGCTGTTGTTTTCCCAAATTAAAGATTACACTGCTTACCATTCAACCACTGCTCTGGTTAGGATGCAAAAGCAGCATCTGCACCTCTATTCTGATATATCCCAGAATAGAGGATGATGACATTGAGGTGGTCATTGTTATTGTTTGCATGCGGATCCAGTCTCATAACAATGGAGAAAAAATAGGCCTAAAAAGAAGGTATTACAAAGACTGGAAAGAACATCTGCACTGCCCAAGAAATCTCAAAGTCCTTTGAGTGTATATACTATATATTTAGACATGGCATCAATTTCAATTACCTTCCATTTATGGACAGACAGAGATAAACTGTCGGACTGAGAAGAGTTACCGCGTCTTGAGAGATTTACTTCATGCTGGAGTGTGGATGAGCTCACAGTATGACTCCCTGTCTGTTATAGTATCATAGAAGATACTACAGCACCAGAAACTGACTCAAACTGTGGCTGACAAGTTTGTGTTTTTGTGGTTTGACTGCAGTTGTATTTTTGGGGACGATATTTGCAGCATGTGCTTTAGTAAGTATGGTGTGATCACATGTCACCCACAGATCTTTGAAGTCTGGTCTGTGTAGAGTTTTATTGACATCATTTACTGTAAAGTCAGAAAAACGTATCATCCCACAGGGACAATTTCACTATATGATCCTGACAACAAACGATAACATTTATTTCTGATTTTAATGACTGAATCATCTTAAGAATAAAAAATAAAATAAAATTGTCATCTTAATGTTTTAGAATGTGTTTTTCTTTTTAATAATGCAGACGTAATGAAATCATGAAAGCTGTCACTATACCAACAAGACTTAACAGTCTTCAGCCATGCTAGCAGCTCTGTGAGGCTGTACTGAGGCACAGCGGTGCTTTGAGCTAAATGCTGCTTTTAATGAGCATGCTAACATGCTCACAGTGACAATACTAATATGCTGTTGTGTGGCAGGTTATATTTACCAGGTTCACCATCTTAGTTTAGCCTGTTAGCATGCTAACATTTACTAATTAGCACTAAACACAAAGTACAGGTGAGGTTGATTTCATGGCAATCCACCCAAAAGGTTGGTCGGTGGACCAACTGACAGACAGACAGACAGACAGACAGACAGACATTGCCATCCTGATCAGCCAAGCCTCTAGCACCGCTGAAAACGCGAGGACACCCCCAAAGAAGCAGACCTGAGGACCATATTACATACTGCATGAAATGTGCACAGTCTCTGGAAACTCTGACTCTAATGCGAGTTCTGTTTTTTAATCTGTTTGGATGAAACTGTTGGTCTCTCTCAATGAAATATGACACTGCTAGCCGACTGTTGTGAAAACAAACAGTGGTGAAATTTAGCTGATCCTGTGCAGACTGAAACAAAATAGTTGTTGGCAGCATTTGAATTGAGGGACCACTGGTCAAAATCTGACAATGCCGATAAGGTGCTATCGGGAACAAACAGAATTTTGAAAAGGGATATATCATATCGTTTTTCATCAAAATCCTTACAATAGTGGATCAGACAGACATCACAGTCTCTTTAGGCATTAGTTCAGGAGATTTAAGTAATGATTTGAATGACATTTAGAAGCCAAGACTGACTCACTGAAAAGCATTTGTCCAAATGTAAAAATGAGTTGTCAATATTGTTTTCAGACTCAGTGCCGCCATCCTGTACGGTGGTGAACATTTTTTAATATTTCAGCCCTGCAAACCAGGAGAATAACCAAGGCTGTATGGACAGCTTTGGGCGTGTGCTATTTTTTTTGAAGTTAGTGCTGCCCCTCATTAAAATTTCATGCTAATATCTTGCAGCCTTTTACAGAGTTCTGAAAGCAGCCTTCCAGCTTCCTTCAGCCACTCTGATGCCTGAAGGAGGCTGAAGACAACCTGCCATTAAAAAACATATAATGAGATAGTCAAAGTCACTTTGACTGGAAAACAATCAGACAGAATGACGTAATATCAAGACAGTCTGATCTTATTTATTTAAACTCTAACATTATTGTTATTTCATATATTTCGTCCTTGCTACTGTATAGTACCATCGTCTTCTTTGTTACTTTATTGAAAAGAAAAAGCAGGCATTAGTTTCTCTGTTGGCTAAAAGCACATCTACCTGTTAACACTTGAAACCACATGAATTATTTATGGAGGCCTACTGCCCACGCAATAACAGGCAACACCTGCCACATGCATGAGATGCTATTTATCCACTTCCTGCATCATTCACTTGCTGTTTAGCGGAGCAATTTTACACTGGTTACCTTATAACTGGAAATACTGTGTTTAGGTGATTGCATTGTTTGGTTGTGCACATTTATTCAAAGATTGAGCTCGACACCGGGGTACAGCTGAAATGACCGTGGAGGTGACCTCATGCAATGCCATGCCCCATTGCTATTTTAGATAAATGTCTTGCACAAACAAAGAGTTTTTTATTTCTTTCCTGCTGCTGCATTCCACAAATTCTATTAATTCCTCTCCCTCACAGTCTCCCTGTGTCTGACTGCAATGCCTGATTTGGGTGTGTTTGGAATGAAAAACCTCTAGGGGCTGCAAGAATAACAGGTTGGCCAACAAACAAGCCTCAGAGCTGGGTGAACAGATGGACAGTGTAAAAAGAAAAGTTGTCCACATGCTGAATTTGAACACTCCCCCAAGTGTTTACTAAAGGAGCATCTCAAAAAGCAAAGTTTTCAGTCTCTGCAAATTTTTTGCACGGTTTGTGATTTTGTCCTTCACCTGTAAACCAATCTGAGGCAAGATGTGCTCACTATCCTCCTTCTTTACTCCGTGTCATGTCAGACATTTTTACAGAAACTCTCAATGCCCCCTATTGAGCCTCACACTTAGACACACATAGCCAAAGCAGCCCCTGAAAAGCCTCCTCTGTTTCATTGTTGACACAACACCCAAAAGAGCTGAGATAACCTTGTGTAAGTCCATAAATTACAACTCGTCTGCAAGTGAGCCACAGTAACTAACAAAGCTTTGACTCATTTGAGTGGAATTTTTTGGCACAAACACCTATATTCAGCACGTCAATCACTGTTATTATGGTGTATTTACACAGAATTGTAATTATCTGTGAGTGTGCTTATAACTGCATACATATTCTCTTATGTCTGCCATCTGCATAGTAACAAAAGTTATTGGAAATCCACCATATTCCTGTTTTTGCTCAAAACACTGTAATAAGTATGAGATGCTGAGCTCAAAGCTCCGATTACATCTGAAAATGGATCCTATCTGCCCTCACTATCACACACACCCACATCCACTCAGCAGAGCGATACAGCCACTCATACATGCAGGCATGTTATTCATACTTTTGGCTTGGGATTGAGTTTTACTGATAGCTTGCTCTGTGTTCATTCATATGGAAACAGTAAATTATCCACAACTTGTTTTCACTTGTCTCAAAAAAGAGGAAGGAAGCTCAGAGTTACCATGGAGACTAAAATTATATTTTAGTGTTTATTGTATGAATCACAGGTTATGGTCATAACAGGAATATTGCAAAATATCGACTGCTTGGAAAATCAAACAGGAGAGTTAAACCCAGTGTTTAAAGTAGGCACATGTAGTTTACATTTGGCTTATTTCACTTTGAAGCTTTACAAGTGAGCACTCGGAAATCTTACTGCTGTACATGCTGCCTCAAAGAGCAAGAAAACAGGAACTGCAATGCACTTTTAAAAGCACTTGAATTATTTAACTGACATGATTAAGAAGAGGACAGGACAAAAAACGCACTCACCTTGACAAAGTTACAGATGTCAATTCCAGTTGATGAAGACAGATATGTTGGTAACAGTCGGTTTGTAACCCAAATGAGATAACCAATGAAGAGGTACTCAAATTACAGCCTCAGACAGACAGCCCGCTCTCTCCAGTCAGACATGCACACACATGCACCATCCAGCCCCGCTCTGAGGAGCATCAATTTCTCCACCGCTGTATGGAGGCGGGCACCACCCTGCGTGACTGACTGAAGCCAAATCCAATTAAAATGCAGGACAGAGCTCTGCGTCAGCTTAAAGGGGCGGGGTCTGTGTCATTGACAGCATCTTTTTCCGTGACGTATTGAGGAAGACCCCAAAAGCAAGGGCACGCAAACCCATCACTTTGCAAGTGAGTCTTGGTCTTTTAGTCATTGTTTTAATTGCAGATGTATTTCCATATTACATTCCTGTGTCGACTTGTAGATAAGAAGTTGAATTACTTTTTTTTCTGTTTTTACTAACTGAATGAGATATTAAACATGATGAGTCAACAAAAAGATAAGATAACTGTCATTAAAAAAACAAAATGAAGTCAGAATGATAAATAACTTGGGGCCGAAAATGCTAATATACCGCCATCTGCTGGACCTATTGTTGAATCACAGCTTTTCAGTAGTACGCATGGCATAGTAATACATATATAGTAAAAAAATAAATAGATGACTTGTAAACAATTTCTGAGATGAAAACTATTTGCATATTTTGACTCAGCAGATTCAAAAATGTAGGTGACATAAGTGCTGTTTTTTATGAATACATATAAATGCAGATTTTGCTGTACATGCACAATAGCAAAAAGGACAAAATCAACAATTACCAACAACACAAATCGTATCTTGGTTTGAAATTGCATTGCGACTAGATCTACAATGTCTACAATATTGAGGAAGAAAATTGTACTGGTCTATTTTGCTGTGAAAGCCTTTTTCTTTTTCTTTTTTTCTCAACGCCTGAATGAGAGGCTGTTATATCACACAAGGTTGCAGGCTTGCTGCTCAAGGACTTTCTGTGATGGATAAACCTTTTGCAGAGAGTCAGCCTGACTGCAACAGATTACATGGAAAAAGGCTTTTTTTTTTCCCTTTCACACTGACGAGCAGGAAGGTTACTGCAGCACCTACGATACAAAGAGGTGGATTCCATAACACAGCCAACACAATGCTCTGTGGTGAACTCTGTGTGACATTCGGGGGGAAATCTCATCTTCATAGAAGTTTTCTCCTCTGTGAAATTAAAAAAGCTTTACAGTAAAGACCAAAGTATTCATCTGTGCAGCATTATGAATTTACAGCCGCTGAATATTCCTTCTGTGGACTGTGCAGGCGCACTGAACTCAGAGAAGGGAGCTTTGAAGGCTGTTCCTTTTATTTTACCCTTAAGCTGTGGCTTAAGGGAGACTTTTATAAGACCGTTATTCTATAATACATTCTGAGCTCCATAATGAATCTTGCAAATTGAATGCTTAGAACCAAGGAGCAAATTAACAATATACTGCAAATAGGCTGTTTACTATACTTACAAAATATTAAGTAATGAGTCAAATTAACAGTCTGGAAAGTTGCTCGAGAAAAGAATATGAATCAGAAACTATTTTACTATGAGCATACAAGAACTCTTACAGCCTTTTTTTTCTGTTTTTGTGCCAACCAGTTCTTAGTGTGGATATAAACACACACTATATAACAATATATAGCTGTAATAGTTTGAGCCTTATAAGTAACTGAATATTATTTGGACTCTAATGTTGAAATGAAAACACCTCTGAAATTATTTCACATCATATTGTGTTTTTACTTTGAAACCATCTATCAGAATTTGAGTGTTTTAATGTGAGGGTTTCCCCTCAGATTTTCCAAGGTTTAAATACCAAAAACTACATTCAAGTTTGTTGAAATGTGTTGTAATTTGGTGTCTGAATTCAACCAATATAATTTGGGCAATTTGCTTTTTTTTACCGTTTTTTAAAATAAAATAAAATATATATATATTTTTTATATATTTTATTTCCTGAACAACTTGATACAATCTTTATAAATTTTAGAAACTTGAATTTTCCTCCTAAAATCAAATTTCTAATCTTCATTTTATATGACCTTCTGTAAATTTCAAGGGGAAAATTCAGTTAGATGATTATAAAAGTACAATATGTAATGTTATAAACTCTGCAGTCTTTCAACTTCAACATTGGTTCAATTTTAGATTCAGCTCAATTCTTAGATTAAAATCATGACAGCTATTTGCTCCCAGATGTAAAAACAAAATCATGTCCCAGTGTTATCCATGCAGGTAGTGACAGTTAATCCCGTAGAAGTCATGTTTCTTCCCCGCGACAACATTGTCCCTCAGGTTCACAGCAGCTCGTGTGATGGAGCAGTTAAAGTCGCGATGGGCCTTCGATTTACTGAATGAATTTTGAAGGTCCAGGAGGCAGAGAGCTGCGCCATCTCTACCCACAGTCCCAACTCTGTCCACTGGCCGAATGCCAGGCAGGACAGGAGGCCTTGGCAGGATGCAGGGGTTAGACATACTGCCTGGCAGCTCTCTGCCCTTTGCCAGCATCTCCTGCTCTGAAGCTGCCCTTGATGATAACTTAGCATTTAATTCAATACCTCCCAGCTCTTTGACCACAGAGGACTGACTAAGATTTCCTCCACACAGCTCGGTCAGCCTCTTCTCCCTGTTGACCTCCATCTCTTCCCGGGAAAGAGGGGAGGTGTACATGTCAGGGGGTTGCTCTGTACCTGAGATCCGGGATCCTGAAGGAGAGCCTTGGTTTGGAGCTTGAGATCGATTTGGGAGTTCAAGAGCAGTGGGACTGCAGGTGCTCCCCTGCTGTCTTCTTCTACATCCTCCTCTGGGTTGAGAGGGAACAAATATGGGGAAAGACCTTTCTCTCTGTAGGGAAAGGAATTTAATAGGATTAGTGTTGCACAGTTGCTGTAAAAACGTGCAACATTCTCGAGGATTTTACCAGTGGTACAGCATGTGTATTCATCCCAGTAATGTCACAGATTTTTTCCTTGAAGTCGTCTATCATTAGTGGATTTGCTGGCCCAGATCCTTAGAAAAATCAAATACCAACAGTATTATTGTTGTTCAAATCATGCATATCCTCTGCGTTCTAATACGTAACTTTTCAGCTTCTTGCTGGGACTGAAAGAAAACTCTTGGGAAAGTGAAGGTTTGGAAAAAAAGGAGAGGATTGTCATTTTTCTTTGGCTGAAGGGATGTTAGTCTATCATTTTCTGGGAGAGCAGGGGATAATATATATTTCATTTTGTCTATCCTTGCAGTAGGAAAAGCTTTCATGTGTGCCAAAGTTCATAAAGGTGTGCTTTGCCATATGCGGGGAACAGTAGTCCTGTCTCTAAATGAAATATATATTCAGGCCCACTTCTCACTCCAACAACTGTTATACTGTTACTAACATATTAACATACGTTTAGGCTTCTTTACCTGTGTGGTGCATTTGGTAGGAGGTGACCCAGTGTGTTCGCTCCAAATTTTTCAGCATGTTGCTTGTCCGTTCAGATAACGACAAATCCCGGTCACGAAGTTTAGGGTTGGGCAGCACCGTCTTCAGAGGAGTGGGGTAGAACACCTGGTTCTCTCCTTTCAATGGCTTTGTATGCTGAAGGAAGAACATTGGTAAATTTAGAAAATGATCAGATCAACTGTGATTTGATTTGTATTGGATAACCTAAACCATAATGTGAAGCTATGTACAGTATTTCATTACTCACATCTAAGAAGCCGTGTTCTCCAGTCCACATAACTGCTTTCTTCCTGGTTTTCATGGGCGTCTCCAAGACCTCATGTCTGTATGGACCACCTGCACATGGAAATAAAGGCATATTAAACTTTTCTGGAAACATCTATTCTATCACCCCCTTTAACCACAATATGTTTCACTCGTACCTATAGTTTTGCTCAGCAGAGTGACGTCCGGCACGTTATTTGGGATGAGGGGGTTGATGAAATGTTGGGAGGCAGCTCTGACTCCTGTTTCCTGGTCATCTGGGGAGCGGAAGGATGGGAACATTGCAAACTGGGAGATGTGGGATGAATAGGGATGCTGTTTTGGAGTTGCTATCTTTATCATTTTCTCCCTGTTAGCAGAGAATTAAATAAAGATGAAGTGTATCAAAGTTTGAGGCAGACACAAGAAACCTTAAATGCAAGTAGTGAGCTTTTGAAAATAAATAAATCAGTCTATCAAACAGAAAGTACTCACGCCATATTTATATCAGTTGGTTTTGGTATGCTGAGAAAAGAAAAAACATGAATGTTATCCTTCCTGTTAATAATGACTATAGTTATGATAAATCAATGGCTACTCACAGCTGGTCATTGAGACGAACTTTACTCTTCTTTCTGCCAGTATTGTTAGAACATTGACGACTGGTGGTGTGCCTGTGAAGGAAAAACAACAATCTATAATTCTGATATATTACATTTTTAATTTCTGTGCAGAACGTTTTTCGACTCACTCAGTCATGATGGTTCCTCCATAACCAAAGTGATGATGGCCATTTAAATCAGGCGGGATATTGTGGTTTAGGGAGGCCTTGGGCTCCATCTGGCTGCTGGAGCTCTGACTCAGAATGGAGGAGGGTGAAGGCAGGACGGAACACAAGGGAAGGATAGTTAGATGAGGGTAGATAATTAAGCCAAATCTGTGGTGAAACCTTGTCTGCTAATCTATGTTGTGGTTTTGTCAAAAAAAAAAAATGTAATCGTGAGTGTTGATTCACAGCATTATATTATTTGTTGAAATACTTTCCACCAGTTTATCCCTAAATGTCCCACAACCAACTTAACTCATTAAATGAATGGTTTGTTTACACACATGAATATGTAGTACATCAGCATGCTATATTGTAGCTAAAACTACAAACATGTATGCTTCTCAGAACTAAATGAAACCGTTTTAACTCTGCCACTACAATATTTGACTGTTTGATCTCTGGTAAGGCCTCTTCTAATTATCTTATACTTTAGTAACCATTTATACTTATGAAATACAGCAATAACACAACAATTAATCAAAGAAATCCCCCAACTCACTTACCTGGGCAGGAGGAGTAGAGAGCAAATATCTATCTAATATATAGAAGCCTCTTTTATTCTCCTGGTGCAGATATGTGGTCTTTTTGTTCCAAATGGAAACGTTGAAGCTTTCTTTGACAGAACAAGACTCCCTCGTCTTCACATGTGACCAGTGAGCTGGGTTTGAATTCCTGGGACAGCCAGAGTGATGGTGTTACAATGAACAATAGGATCGGAGAGACACCCAATCCAGCCCACAGCACATAGTGTGTGAGCAGAGATGTGGTTTAAATAGCTTTCGTACGACTAAAGACCAAAACAACATCACACATTTGGTTTGCTAAGTCCAGAAAAAATATAACCTGAAAATATTTTTCCCCCAGTAATAACTGTGTGTGGGGGGGGGGGGGGGGTGATATTTCATATTACATCAGTTTGTTCGTAGGCGGTGGGTAATCACTGCTCCGGATGCCCATCATCCAGTCATCCAGTGTGGATCTGATAATATTACATGTTCACAGTTTGGTGAACTCATACAACTAAGCATGGGATAGAATGAAAACCAAGCTGGGTCCGCCTCGGCACACGCCGACACCAGATACAAGCCGAGTCCGGTGTGTGGTGCTTGGTTACAGGAGTCGTGTTTCGTTGTCTCCATTCTTAGTCAACATAGAAACAGTTATACATTCAGACTGCATGCCTTAGAGTAGACAAAGCCACAAGATTTGTTCAAAGAAAGTCTCAGGTACGATCTTGAAGGAGATTTTAGTCTGAGGATCATTCTCTTCTTATGTTGCTTTAGACATTACAGGCTCATTTTGTAGAACATCTTCTTTTAGGTTTTGTTGGACAGCTACACGTGCACGGTCCATGGCGGAGCATGCATGAATAGGACTAATTTGTCACTCTAGAGTAGACAACACCCAATACTCTGATGAATGTAAACAATGACAAAAAGTAACCATAATGCAAATTGTGTCAGGACTCATTGTGTCAACCCCTCATGAGAACATGAACAGTGAAATAATTGATTTTAAAGATCCCAGAAAGCCTGTCCACATTTTGGTATGACTTAACTTGATGCATGCTTTACAGTCATATGAAAACAACACTGCCGACATAAAACAACTTGAAAACTTGGCTTCATAAGTATTTGACTACAACATTAAATACTCACGATTAAAAAAGCAGCAAATCAAAGTTAAAAAAAAACTCTGAAATGTAATTATTATGAGTACCTTCAAAAACTTCCAAGCAAATCTGCTTCATCAGGATTGTGTGGACATTTAAATAATGTTTCTAAATCCCGATTGGTGCGTAGAGGTATGTCACATCTCTGTTTCCTATCAACGCCAGTGAGAAAGGCACAGAAAGAGATACTTTCTGATGATACAAATGTGAAGTATCAAACACTTTTGCAGAAAAAAGTGTGTTCACGTGGGACCCCATTTCTCACAGTGAGAAGGTGATTGAAAAAACTAAAACATATTCAGGGCCTTTATTGAAATAGGAGAGCACATTTGATCTGCTCCCCATCACTTAAAACATCAGAAACCTGAAAAATGCATCTAAATACCAGGTTTCAATCAGCACACAGGGAAGACGTTCAGTATAATCAATGGAGCTGCCTCTTCTTGGACATGACTGCTTTCAAAGCTGCAAGGTTTGCCTTGTTTGTTGGCACTCACAAGACCCATATTCTGCATTCTGCTTTTTAATTGGGATTCCCAAGAGACCTTGTCCAAAGTCTCAGCAAAACACCAAAGTCCGATCAAGCCCCCTAAGCTAAGTCCAGTAACCAATTACCCTGCTCTGCCCCAGCGGAGCTGGCGTCCTTTGGATTACATTCCCTGCTGCTGCATTATAAATGTGCCACAGCCTGCAGTGATTTCTCTATCATATTAATTATTGTGCACATGCAGGTTGCTGCTTAGCCCCTACAGGGTTGTACACAACAACGGAAATTCTTGTAGTTACCAATAATATCTGAAACACTGATACATTAATTCACCCCTCTCTAAAGGAAAAGCATGTGGCATTGACTATTTTCTCCAACTTACCAGTTCATCCCATAGGTCAATAAGACTGCTATATATCTGCTAGTGACCCTAGTGACCCCTGAAACCAATAGTAGCCTCCTCCTAAACCATTATGGCAGCAGCCCCAGGTTATCAATTACATTTTGAAAATTTGATTTAGGAATATTTACCATGTAAGAATATAAACTGAAAGATTTACTGATTTGATTTTGACACAGGGCCTGTGCAGCAAGTCTTTATACTGAACAATGGCCTACTGTTCATCTCTCAGTGCTACACCACAAATGCATTTATGAGTATTTACTGATGGTTGAGGCTTGGTTAAATTTGGGCGACTAAAGCCATTTGGTTATGAAGCCCTGCAAGGTAGAAGACACCCACAACTCAAGGGTCAGGGGGCCCTTGGTCAGTTGTCTGCAGCTGGTAAAACACACACACACACACACACACACACACACACACACACACACACACA